GTATAGCGACATGTATACACTGTTACAGTGTGCCCTAAAATTCCTCTATGCCTCACATATTCACCCATCCCTCGCCACTAAACCGTGACAATAACTGCTCTTTTTACTCTCCCCACAGTTTTGCCTTTCCAGAATGTCATATAATTGGAATCACACAGTATGTAGCCTTTTGAGATTGGCCTTTTTCACTTAATCATATGCATTTAAGGTTGTCTTGTGTCTTTTCATGGCTTGATAGATCCTTTCTTTTTAGTGCTGAGTAATATTTCTTGTATGCATGGACCACAGGTTATTTATTCGTTCACCTACTGAAGGACATCTTGGTTGCTTCCAAGTTTTGGCAATTATGAATGAAGCTGCTGTAAACATCCATGTGCAGGTTTTTGTGTGGACATAAGTTTTCAACTCATTTGGGTAAATACCAAACAGCATGGTTGCTGATTCATAGGGTAAAATTATGTTTAATTTTGTAAGAAACTGCCAAACTGTCTTCCAAAATGGCTTTGCCATATTGCATTCCCACCAGCAACGAAGGCACATTCCTGCTATTCTACGTCCTCAGCAACATTTGGTGCTGTCAGTGTATTGGATTTTAGCCATTCTAACAGATGTGTAGTGACATCTCGTTGTTTTAATTTGCAATTCCCTAATGACGTAGGATGTGGAGCCTCTTTTCATAGGCTTATTTGCCAACTCTATATCTTCTTTGATGACATGTCCATTCAGATCTTTTGCCCATTTTTAATTAGATTATTGATTTCTTAATGTTGATTTTTAAGAGTTCTTTGTATATTTTGGGTAACAATCCTGTATCAGATATACTTTTACAAATATTTTCTCTATGCTTTGTTTTCTCCTTCACTTGATGGCCAATTGTTTTTTGACAAGAGTGCCAAAACAATTCAATGGGGGAAAGAATAGTCCTTTCAACACACTATGCTGCAGTAACTGGATATCCACATGCAAATGAATGAAGTCAGACTCCTACCTCACACCACATACAAAAATTAACTCAAAATGGATCAAAGAGCTAAATCTAGAAGCTGAAACTATACAGGCATACCTTGGGGATATTGTAGGTTCAGTTCCAGACAACTGCAATGAAATGAATATCACAAAGAAGTAAGTCACATGAATTTTTTGCTTTCCCAGTGCATATAAAAGTTATGTTTAGGGGCCGGCCTGGTGGCGTAGTG